ACAGGAGAACGATCGGGGTAATCCTGGAAAGGATAGTACGCCGCTTCAAGACCTGCCGGTCCTTGGCCGAAAGGTACCAGCTGTGCCCCCCGGACCCCCTCGCCCCCGATGCTCCCAGGCCTCGGCTCGTCTTCCCCGGGGCACGGCGCTTGATGGCGGGACCCACTGCTTGCCGTCGTCAGGCGAAACAAGCGAAATGGAAAACAACGTCATGGAAAGGCCTGCGTCGCCCTCAGGCACTGGGGGCGATGTTTACGTTCTGAGTGGGTTATGATGCCAGCCAAGGGGGTACGATTAGCGGACTATCAGGAGCCAGCGCCCGGGATTTTTGTCGTGATGTTCGCCTGCTGCTCAAAGTAGAAAATGCGGTAGGTCGCGACATCGCCACCGTATTGCGGCGGGCATGGGGTGGCGTGAGCGTGTACGCGAACCAAGATCTATCCGCCTGTCCGTCTTGCCTCCTTCTCTTTCGTCTAAGATGTACCCATACATATATTCATACATACCGGTAAGCTTAGAATCAATTGGACAATTTCGATAGACTCATGTTCTTCTCGTTCGTCCATACATCCACACAAACCAGTAGGCTTGGATTATCTTGGTAACATTCAATAGACTCACGTTCTTCTCTTTCGTCCATACATCCACACACCCATACGTACTTGTACGCTTGCATATATTTGGAAACGCTCGACAGACTCACATTACTCTGTTTCGCCCATAAGCCCATACATCCACCATATATGCCCGTGCGCTTAGATTTTTTCAACGTTCGACAGACTTTCGGTTTTCTTGCATCCATAAATCCATACATACATACCGACACGCTCGGATAATTACCCTGTAAACGTCCGATCTATACATACTCACGCTCCGTCGAACGAGCCGTAGCCCCGGCATCGCTGTTGACCGAGAGCGACCTCGTGCCGGCCTCGAACCCGCCGCCGTCGCTGTTGATCGACAATGAACGAGGAACGTCGCCACCATCACTCCCGCCGCCGCCGCCGCCACCGCCCACCTCTTCGTCGTCGCCCCCCCACGACGGCAGCCGTTGGTAGGAGCCGGAAAACGTTCCCCCTCCCTTCGACGCGGACAGGCCTAGGCCGGCGAGAGCCCTGGACTTGTCGCCGAGGGCGGCGGCCGCGGGTTCCCCAGGGGCTGAAACGTCACTAGCGGCACCGTCGCTGATGTACCCCGCCACCGCAGGCTTCACGGGCTAGGATAAGACAGCGACACAGCGTAGTGTAAAACCGCCATGGTCATTCCAAGCAGCGGGGAAAGGCAGGGGGGGGGGTTGCTCGCGGGGCGGATAACTGGGAAATGACTGCTCGGAGCTGGGTGGTCGAGGTCTATTATTATTTATTTATTTTTTTGCCTTCCGACAATTGCAGATGTACCTCAGAAAACTTTCACTTAATGTCTCATACTCTACATGAATATATTAAACCAATACGAAGTACAACAACATATGTAGGACTTTTTTCTACTGTCACTTACATCGTAAAAATATCTCCTCTTCAATTTGAAATACAACCAATGACAATCCTCATGGTATCCTACATGCTTATTGTCGAAAAGGATGAAACGCCGCCAATGGAGCGGTTGAGGCAATGCAGAGCGACTAGGACGCGCATAAATATGGGGGAAAAGGACAGGGGAAATCATCAATATTTGGAACGTGATGCACAAGAAGGAGCGTGTGGTGGAAAGGTTTGATTGCAACAAGGGGGCAAGTCTGACCTATCTTCGCGAAGTCCACTTGGTTCGAAAAACAATACCTTTTCAAGCACGTTCGACGAATGCTGTGAAGCATGGCAAGGAAACAAGGTCGTGTCTAGCCTTCCAGCCCTCCCCCCCGAAGAAAACAAACCCACGAGTGTGAATGGAAAATTGGCAAAGCCGTTCGTGAAGAATCGGCAAACGTGCGGGAAAACGGCAACACACTTGGTCATGTCAGACCCAATACACCGCGGTAGAGACGAAGCGCACAGGTGAGCTGATAGAGGTTTGCTCTCGAGGGCAATGTGAAGAGCAAGGCATGCCCTGTCCGATGTCATTTCATATGGCTTCGCGTCTTCGATTTTTACCGATGCTGCCGAAAGCTTCTCAAGCATCTTCAAAGCAGTGCCCCCCCCCTCCCCCTCCCCCCACCCTGAGTGCCCGTCACCAAGAAACAAGATCAGCAATGCCGCACAGACTTTTGCGCGCCGAAATATGCGTGCGACAGCTTCAACCTAACCACTTCGGTGGAAAGCGGATTTCTGTTCGATACGGTGTCAGGGGTACCAGGGAAGACGGGGCCAAGTTTTGTTTGATTTCGGGTGGATGAGGTTGGGGTTTTGTTCGTTTTTCTCCATCTAAGGTTCGTGCCTAGAGTTCAGCTGTAGTGTTTCAACCAAAGTTTTGTTGACTTAGAGGCAAACATTCCTAGCTATTGGGCATCGAGTTAATTTGGCTTGACATGACGGCCTTTACGATCGACTTTTTATGTATGTCTGCATTTATCTGCAATTGTCGGAGGGCAAACAAAATAATAATGACAATAACACACTCGACCGTCTTTTCCAACAGGCACTTACTCGAACAAAAAATCCTCCACAGAATACACAAATTCGAACTGGAGCTCCAAATTCTTCCATTTAACGAAGCAGATTTAGAAATAAGAAAGTTTCCACGAAAACGTGGAGGCAAATATTTTGAGATTTAAGCGGCTTCACATGATTGGCTGAGGGGCAACAGTTCTCCTCTCCCACCCAACGAACTTACTTCCCCTGTCCGTAGGTGGTACTGCTTTTTTGTGCTGCGTGACAGCTGCACCCTGCTGACACCGCTGTTTCTCACGGCTGTTGAGCGTGCGTGCATGCAATGCGTGTGCGTGCATGTCTGTGTCGCGCCCCTCAACCCCAGCAGCAGCACACGAAATCGCACCAGAACGTAGACAGGGAGGGAGAAATCATACTGTCCGGCAGCCTCTCCACGAATTGCTGTGTCGCATTTCAAGCGTTCGGGAGAGAATAGGTTCTTGGGACGGGGGCACATCAAGCCATCAAACTCTCTCTTTATGCTTGCAGATCATAGTCTTGCGCGGGGAAGGACACGTGCTCTTCCTCCTGTCTGTCTGCTCTTCGCTGGCGGTGCTGCTGCCACCACCTCGACGTCATCGGTTGTCGTTGTCTCCGCGGTTCCGGAGCTCTCGCTCTCCTGCTTCCCACTTGCCTCAACCTGTGTGTGTGACGGGTGGCTGTTGCTGTGACCTAAAGCCGCGCAAACAGCCCAACATGGCTTCCTGACCGTGCAGCCTCCCTCTTGTTGCCACGACAACTCCAGGGCCTTTCCGCTGGGCGCTGGCGTTCTCTTTGGCCGCGCAAACAGCTGTGTGTGCGTGGGTGTGGGGTCTGATGTGTTAAATCGAAATGTTGCTGAATCGGAAAACCGTCCACAATTTTCCACAAAACGAGCCTCCCTCCGCTTTTAATCTGATTATTTTTTCCTTATCGTGGATTCTGGCGAGACTGTCAGGAGCGATCCTCAGAACGACGGTCTAAATCAAAATATATTTCCTAACTTCGGTATTTTTTGGGTCCGAAAGAGTCTAATACAAGAGAAAGGTAAAAAAAAAAAACTCAACGGAGGAGAAGAAAACAGTACCACCCACCTTTGAAACTCCCTTCTCGTCGCTGGCGTTGTGAGATGTCGGTGTCATGTCCGCCTCGACATCGTGGCCCAGCACCGCCCGCACGAAGGATCGGAAACGGCCGCCTTGCAGCTTGTAGAGGAACGCGAGGAACACAAGGTACATCATCTTCGAAGCCCCCGCTGCGCGTGCGTGTAGCGTGCACACTCACTCACCAATGCTGGTTGGGTGCTGTCTGGGGCCCTGCCGATTTCCACGTCAGGTAGGTCGAGGGGGGCCGGGGGGGGGAGGTGTCAGTTGCCTGGTTCACTTGCTGTTGTTATGAGAAATGGACGTGTCCGGTGCACATCGTGTGCTCTTAGATTGCTATTCCCTCGCCCGTGCGGTTCGATGCCCTCGATCTACGGCATGCAGTATACTGCTTGGTGGCGAGCGGCAAAAAATAAGCTTGTTTGGGGTACTTGGATACAAGATCCGATCTGCAGAGAACATGTGTGCGGGGGGTATACTGTTGGGGGTCCAAGTGCGGCCCCCCTCGTGAGAGCCCGCGCTTGTGTTCACTGAAACAGGACCTGCACTGACTTCGGCCCGTGCTGGAAGAGCACGAGTGTGTTAACCAAATATATATATCATCTGCATCGGTCCTCTCGGTTAACATAGTCCCCAGACAGACATCATACCGTGGGTGGGCACGACAACCTCCGTGGGTGGTTCCGGGGGTACAGAAACACGATTATAATCGTATAAGTTCGACCGATGTCGGATGAACATGCTTCAGAGAAGGAAGCAGCTGCGGAGAGGGCAGCAGCTGCGGCGAGGGCGGTAGAGGAATTGAGGAAGAAAATCCAACTAGCGATGGACAAGATCGCTGCGTTAGAGAGTGCTGGTAAGGCGGCAGGTGGTCAAGCTGGGTGGGCAGCTGGAGGAGGTGTACATGCCGGGGGTGGGCCCGGTGGATCAGAGAGATTATTTGTTGACAAGGACGGAAGGATCGATCCAAATCAATATTCTTCAGAGAGAGAGGGGAAGAAGCCCCATGTTTGTTTTGAGTTTGTTTTTCTCCCATCATTGGACTCTGTCTTCTGCCCCTCTGGCCCCTATCCTCCACTTCTACCAGCTAAACGACCCAACCGGGGTCACATGGGAGGGGGGGGTTGGACCCCCTCCTGCGGTTCCTGCCTGAGATATTTTTGTCGCGAGAAGGGTACAGCAATCCCTTCCCTCGCGACTTAAGAAGTCGGTCAAGTTTACTAACAACGAGCTTTGCAGCGCATCGCTTCCAACGGAGACCAGGATTTAATAAGCGAGAAAAACCTCACTCTGTCGGGACTCGAACCCATGACCTGGCCCTTAGTAGGCTGCGAGGCTACCCACTTGACCACCGGGGCGACCGGTGCATGTGTGGTACGTTGGACACCACCAGCAGGTGACGAGAGGAGTGCAGCAGCAGAGCAGCCGCCGCAACCGTGTCCTTACAGGGCACAGCCGGTACCAGCATCAGCAGCAGCTGGTGCCCAACGAACGCACGCGCCCTCCCGCTTCTCCCCCTCCCGAGCAGCAGCACCAATGCAGCTGCTGTGGAGAGAAAGGTCATGTTCATCAGTATTGCGAGTTCAACCTCGCCCGCGGACCGTTTCAGCAGCGGAGGAACGGTGGCTTTGGCGGCGGGTCTGTGTTCCAGCAGCAGCAGCAACAACAGCAGCAGAAGCCAGGCGTGGTGTATGGCAGCACTGGTGGATTTCAGCAGCAGCCGCAGCAATCATAGCAGGCGGCCGGCTCCACCCGTGGGTGAGTGGTGGGGTGTTTGTTGGCGAGAAGGAGGGGGGGGCTGCTGCCGGTTCGTTTGTGGCGTCTTTGCTGGTAAAAGCCCCCGCCAACGTATCTTCTCCCAACGCAGTTACGCACCCCGCCAATCATTCTCCCCCGCGACCCACTACAGTTGTATCACCTATAGCACCTGCAGTAGCGCGGAAACGCGCAGAGCTGGATCTCATGGAGGCCGGGTACAGTAGAAGTGTAGCAATGCGGCAGATCGGACCGTACCGCGTTGTTGTAGTTTCGCCATCCGCGGCATCGCAACAGNGTGCGGGGGGTATACTGTTGGGGGTCCAAGTGCGGCCCCCCTCGTGAGAGCCCGCGCTTGTGTTCACTGAAACAGGACCTGCACTGACTTCGGCCCGTGCTGGAAGAGCACGAGTGTGTTAACCAAATATATATATCATCTGCATCGGTCCTCTCGGTTAACATAGTCCCCAGACAGACATCATACCGTGGGTGGGCACGACAACCTCCGTGGGTGGTTCCGGGGGTACAGAAACACGATTATAATCGTATAAGTTCGACCGATGTCGGATGAACATGCTTCAGAGAAGGAAGCAGCTGCGGAGAGGGCAGCAGCTGCGGCGAGGGCGGTAGAGGNCGCCATCCGCGGCATCGCAACAGCCCAAGCAGTCACCGTCGCAGCAGCAGCAGCAGCAGCAGCAGCAGCAGCCAGCAGCCTCACTTGTGCCATCACCCACAGCAAACCATGTCGATGAGATCCGTCCTGCTGCTCCATCTTCAACGGCNCTGCGTTAGAGAGTGCTGGTAAGGCGGCAGGTGGTCAAGCTGGGTGGGCAGCTGGAGGAGGTGTACATGCCGGGGGTGGGCCCGGTGGATCAGAGAGATTATTTGTTGACAAGGACGGAAGGATCGATCCAAATCAATATTCTTCAGAGAGAGAGGGGAAGAAGCCCCATGTTTGTTTTGANGCGGCGATGGCAACGGCGGCGGTGGGGACAGCAGTAGCAGCGGCGTCCCCGGTTGCCGCGTTGGCGCCGGGCAGTCAAGATACGTGCGCCGACAGTGGCGGCCTGACCTGCAGCAGCGGTGGAGACGACGGCATCTACGGTTTCAACAGGGGCGCGTCGTACCCTTTTGACCCGGGAGAATTATTTGCGCAGGAGGTGCGTGAGGAGGGAGATTACAACAGCGGTGGTAAGGAGGACCGGAGCAGCGGTGCNGGGACTCGAACCCATGACCTGGCCCTTAGTAGGCTGCGAGGCTACCCACTTGACCACCGGGGCGACCGGTGCATGTGTGGTACGTTGGACACCACCAGCAGGTGACGAGAGGAGTGCAGCAGCAGAGCAGCCGCCGCAACCGTGTCCTTACAGGGCACAGCCGGTACCANCAGCGGTGGTAAGGAGGACCGGAGCAGCGGTGCCCGCAGCAGCAGCAGCGGCGACGGCGGAGATGGCGCGGCCTGGCATGGAGCGTCAACGCATCCATTTGACAGAGGGAAGCTGTCCCGGTGGAGGAGAGCGACCAGGGGGGCCGTGCTGGGAGTGGACCTCCCGTCGAGGCAGAGATGCATGGGCACATGCCGGGGGGTGACNGGAGTGCAGCAGCAGAGCAGCCGCCGCAACCGTGTCCTTACAGGGCACAGCCGGTACCAGCATCAGCAGCAGCTGGTGCCCAACGAACGCACGCGCCCTCCCGCTTNAGAGGGAAGCTGTCCCGGTGGAGGAGAGCGACCAGGGGGGCCGTGCTGGGAGTGGACCTCCCGTCGAGGCAGAGATGCATGGGCACATGCCGGGGGGTGACGCTTCGCACCAAGCGGCACCACCGGGAGCGGCGGCGGCGGCGGCGCGAACGGCTTCCGCCAGAGCGCCGTCCCCGGCAGCAGCGTCATCAGGAGCGGCGACGGCAGTGGTGGCTTCGGACAGAGCTCCGTCGGCAGCAGCTGGAGTGGCGACCTCGGCCAGAGCTCCGGGGGGGGGCGGAAACGGCGACCGCGGTGACGGTAGTAGCGGCCGCAGCAGCAGCGGCGACGGCGGAGATGGCGCGGCCTGGCATGGAGCGTCAACGCATCCATTTGACAGAGGGAAGCTNGAAGCCAGGCGTGGTGTATGGCAGCACTGGTGGATTTCAGCAGCAGCCGCAGCAATCATAGCAGGCGGCCGGCTCCACCCGTGNGCAGTGGTGGCTTCGGACAGAGCTCCGTCGGCAGCAGCTGGAGTGGCGACCTCGGCCAGAGCTCCGGGGGGGGGCGGAAACGGCGACCGCGGTGACGGTAGTAGCGGCCGCAGCAGCAGCGGCGGCGGCGGCGGCGGCTTCGGCAGCAGCGACGGCGGGAGCGGCAGCAGCGACGGCGGGAGCGGCGCCACCGGCAACGGCAGCAGTTTGAGCGGGGATGAGAGGGCGCGCGAGCGGGGGAAGAGTTTACCCTTGTCTGTTTTCCCCCCGCCAACCCACCCCTCCGGTGCCCCCCGCAGCGCCACACCTGCAGCGAGCCCCGGCGACGTACGCGCAAGCTAACGCGGGGCGGGCGCAGCGTAATTTGGAGAGTAAAGGCGAAGCGGAAGACGGATATTTGGCTCCGGTGGACACCCTCGAGTCGACCGAGCAGGGCGAGGATATGGTGGCACCGACTACCTCACCATATTTGCGCCAAATTGGAGACCATGTGAAATAATAACGGGTTTGTTTGGGTTTCGTGTGGAGGCATTGGCATGTTGACTTCACGTTGTTCTGTTCTTTGTGGTTTTTATTTTTGTCGTTTCATGTCGGGTTTTTCCCCGTTGCGCCGAAGACGAGAAATTCATCCAGGAATCGCCTCCGAGAGACAATGCGTTCATGTGTACGGCATCCCCGTTTGTGGTTGAGTAATTTTTTTTTCTGGGATTTGACTTGTTGTGTTTCGGACCCGAATTTGTGTAACATGCGAATTCAGTGACAACTGTCGAACTGCTGTTTGTACTGCTGTCAAGAACCATGCGGGGGGGATTTGTGTACCATGTTTCTAGCCGCAGTACCAGCAGAGCAGAGTGCTTTCGTCGAGTTCTGTTCAAGTTGGATATGTTTCGTCATGATTTTCTTGGCGTTTTCTTCGTTCTGCTGTGTTTTGCGTCAAGAATCAGGCGGGAAGGAAATATGTTGTCATATTTCCAGACGCAACACTAGCGAATGCGTATATGCTTTTCTTGTGTTTGCAGGGCGTGTTTAAGCTGGGGGGCTGTTTCATACACTTCGATGTTTTGGGATCTTCTGATGGTTGAATAGGAGGGGAAGAAAACGCAGGCAGATCTGTATGTAAGTTTCGGGGAAATGTTCCAGCTGGGGGGCTGTTGCGTATTGAAATTGGTATTGAGAGAAGGGTGGCACAAAATTTGCCTGTTTCGGAAAATGTTGCGGCAGCGGGACTGTTTGCATGGATATTTGCTTATATTTCTATCGTCTCTTGGACTTTAGCCGAGGCATCGATAGCACGTACGCGCTGTTTAGGATTTGGTCTTTGGACGGTACATTGGAGGAAGGGTTTGACATGTTTTGACGAGTATGGTTGGGGCCTTCGTGCTTTTCGAACGCTTGTTTTAATTGGTCAAGAAGTTGAAAATTTGTGTTGTTTGCAGATGTTGTGTCAACTCTTTTGAAGCTGTTTTCCCAGATTTGTCCGTCACCGTTCTGACGCTTTTCTGACGTAGCGCAGATATTTGTTGGGTACTCTTCTGAGGATGATTCTTTTGTTTTGACGGTTTGAGAATACATTTGGTTCATGGATAAACCGATGGAGATGCTTTGTGTTAAATGCGTAACCAGTTTTTTTGTAGAGGATGTTTCTCGAGTGGTTATTTGTGTTTTGTATTGGTTGGAAGATTATCCACCTTGGACTTCCAGATCGTATGTTGCATCAAGCAGGAGGGCTGTTGGGGGTACTTGGATACAAGATCCGATCTGCAGAGAACATGTGTTCGGGGGTATACTGTTGGGGGTCCAAGTGCGGGCCCCTGGTGAGAGCCCGCGCTTGTGTTCACCGAAACAGGACCTGCACTGACTTCGGTCCGTGCTGGAAGAGCACGTGTGTGTATCAAATATATTTATCATCTGCATCGGTCCTCAACATAGTCCCCGGACAGACATCATACCGTGGGTGGGCACGGCAACCTCCGTGGGTGGTCCCGGGGGTACAGAAACAAAGCTCCATTTGGAAACATGCGGATAGTCTTTCTCGAAACATGCCAATGCCACTTTTTCCCGCAGCTCTCGGGCCGTTCATGGCTGCAATATAACGTGCTCATTCAGCACCATGAATAAATGAGGTGGCCAGCAGCGATACGTGCACAGGGTCGCCCTCTGCCGCAGCAAGGTCGTACATATTCGAAAGGACTGAAAGGGACTGCCGAACCCCCGTTTCCCCCGCCTGCATGAATAAATCCTGCTGTCGCGTGCATGCACCCGACATGCAAATGTGGGTATACTCCATCAGAGACACAGGAGAAAACGTTCGTCGAGTAAACAGCAGTGGCACGGCTCGGGGTACAACACACTCCAACTTCGTTCTGAAAGCAGACCACAACTACGGATACATTGAAGCATAAATATAAAGATGTGCTGATTGTGCTTGGGGAACTGATCGTGTGCGTGTGTTTTTTTATATTACCAGTGTTGGAGGGCACCAGGTCGAACCTACGGCAGTTGTACATTCACCGACAAGTACGACGGGGTCAGCCCACTACTACTGCTGTGGACCGCACACCATCATCCCGAGGGAGATGTTCTTTTTCGTACAGTGCGTCTCAAAGTACTTGATAGCAGGCTAGTGACGGAATCAGGTGCAAGGCGGCAGGCACTCTTGAGGACAGCGCATGCGTGCATTCCGGATGAGCACGGAAGGAAAATATGTGAAAAAAAATGAATGCCAACATAGATTCACATGTGCATACCGTGCAGACAGGAAACAAACGAGCAGGGGTTTTGATAACTATAAAGATTTTCGTTGGAAGAGCGATGATGCGTTCCATCTAAAAAATGCCAGCAATAGAATACAAGTCAAGGCGGAACGACCCCGAAAATGAAAACAGCATCAGCAGAGGAGCAAAAGCTGATACTACGTTGAATAAAATGAAAATGCGAATTATCAGACAACACACGGACGACGAGTGTCGATCAAATTCTTGGGGAGGAAAAGGGAGTCGAGAATATCCCACGCCACACACATCCAACGCTGTTTTATAGCCCGATGCCGTCTCTGCAGGGAAAGCACCACAGAAGAACGGCTGACACATTCTTTGCCTGGCGGTGTTGAGTCTGGGGGGTACGAACTATGTAAACCATTGCCTCGAGCTCCGCTCCGAGAGAAAGATAGAGCGAGAGAAGCTCCATTTGACATTGCGAATTTGCTATCCTGTTTGCTGGTTTCTCTCTGTCCGTCCAAGAGAGAGAGAGATTCTAAGCAGCAAGATGTGATGCTCGGATCATGTTCGGATCCCGGGGAACGGAAGAGCTGTGCAGCGCCTGGCATCGCCTAGACGCCTCGTTCAGCGACGCGTGGTTCACAGTCAGCAGGGAAAAGCTCTCAGATGCATGCATATACGAGTACAACCTCGATAGCGAACAATAAATAAGGTATTATTCTAGCCAGCTCCAGCAGTCTGTGCGCATTTTAACTGCATGTAGGCCGCAAAAAAGAACGTTTGTGTGAGGGCTATTCCGCGGCGTCCCTCTTGTGATTCTGGGCGATGGTTTCCTTCCTGTTGCTCGAAGGGCCGTGCCGTGCATCTACTCCTGCTGGCAGAGGCAGGACACAAGCCTGGGTGACAAGTACACACGCCGCCTACCATTAGACTCTTCGCGTGTGGCGATACAGCAGCAGCAGCAGCGGCAGTAGCAGCAGCAGCAGCAGCGGCAGCAGCAGCAGCAGCAGCAGCAGCAGCAGCAGCAGCAGCAGCAGCAGCAGCAGCATTTGAAAGTATTCTTCAACCATCTCCCTTCTCCTTCTCTTGTGACCGGAGCCTCAAGCTTCTGCAGCAAGCTGCAGTTACCTCACACCCGAACGCCTCGCATCTAAGCAACCACCGTGCGTGAAATCGTACCTCACCGATATATGGAGACTCGTGCGTGACGTAGCTCCAAGCTGGAGCAAGGTGTCGGGAGGTAGCAGCAGACAGAAGATCGCACACAAATGCGCGAGAACATGATGAGTAAATCGGAACATGGGGGTGACGCAATTGGACTCCTGGGGGAGGCGCGCGTGCTGTTGTTGCTGTGGGAAGGGCGCAGCACCTGCCTGCATTGCCTGCCTGCTCCAGTATACACAGGCATTGAACACAGGACCACACAGATTTCTACAGGGCTAGACGTCCAGGAGAGATGCTTGGCTCCGGTATGGCATGGAGGCATTCCTGGGTTTCAGCTTCCAGGAACGTGACGAGGCTCCGGAGGTACAGCTCATTTTCCAGTGCTCCCCCAGGACTTGGAGATAAGGCGGCCGGGTGAGAGTCAGCATTTATTGACCTGCATCATCTGTCTCTCGGCCGTGCACAGCAGTAGTTGAGGTGACTGGATAGCGCGCACACGTCCACTGCCTGGAGATCCGGGTGGACATATTTCTATACATGCATTGCAATTTTGTCTACAGGTACAAGAGTCAGTGTGGAGGCACACACCACTGCATCTCCATCGTCTCATCCCAAATCCCTCAAATCCATTGCACGTTGTGAGGTCAACCGCTGGTATTACCGTACATGACACAAGATAACACACCCCGGTGATAACATGTTGGAGTTTGAAAATACTATCACCGGGTGGTGGTATCCTGTGGGGGGGGTGTTATCTTGTGTACCCCGGGTGATAAAGTGCAGCTCGCAGGAGTCCCTTAGGGGGTGTGATAGCACGTCCGAACAGCCACAGCGTGTGCTTTGGGGCGTGGTAGATGAGGGGGGATGATACACTGCTTGTAGAGATGAACCGCTGCTGCCGCACACTTGAAAGGGTGTGGTATTGCGGAGGCGTGATAGCCTTGCCTGCACGTACACGTGCAGTGTAGGGACCT